GCACCTAAATAGGAATTTTTCTGACATCCCTCTGACAGAGTAAAATATCTCATTGCCGCTCTTTGGGAGTGGGACCATGCTGTCGCTATTAGCGCAGCACTGTAAGTGGCAAAACTGCCAGAGGAGAACAAAATTGATTTAACCTTTTGCTAGAAAGCAACAGTAAACCGACAACATAAATGACATTTATTGTTATTAATTATTGCATAACTTGACCTTTTAGGAGTTGCAATGTTGATTGGTAATAAGGCATTTTTTAAAATTTCTAAAAAACTGTTGTAATGTTTATTTTTCATAAAAGTCCGACAGGAAGTCAAATCTACATTGGAGGCAGCAGATTCATTATAGGTGGTGCAAATTTACATTTTTGATAGAAAACGAACGAAAACAAGAACAAGAAAGATTTTGTAATAATGTTGCTAAGTAAGATAGATGTAGAAATAGATTAATATTCACTTTTTCCGTTAAACAATTCTTAAAGTATTATTGATGATGTTCTTATACATTCTGTTTTGAAATAAAATGTCCTTTCGAAATATGCTTTAAGCTTTAACTTGAATGTCAATTAAGTCTTACTGCTTTTTGAACCTTTCATTGTTATTTTTGTGCCTTAAATGGCATACCACTTAATTTTCTGCACAAACGACATCTCACAGATTAATAACATTGTGGGAACGAATTTAAACCTAAATGGCGATATTCGCCAACATTAAAATCACTAATTATTTCTTGGGACACATAAAAATAGTTTCCGCAGTCGCGGAAAGCACCGCAGGATCGAAATGCAGCAAGTCCAAAAGGTAAAACTCCATAGCCTACCGTTTTTAACGCAAGTTCAGCGAACGGCGGTCCGGAATGTCACCTCTGCCGCCCGGGCGTAAAAACGGCCGCACATCTCAGCGGCGTACTGGCAATTAAATGCTGTTTGTTGTATAAAGGAAGGGCTTATATTGCAACAGCGTCATTTTTTTTCTAATACCACGATTTCCCATGACATATTCCTTTTATCAAATCGAGGCATAAATCGCTGGTGATTTTTTTTTGCTTTCTATTTTCCGTTTACTTTTATAGGAGTTGCAGTAAGTACATCGCAGGTTAACAGCTTTCATCTAAGAAATACGCTTGGGGCATTATACCAGAAGCCCAGTCGGGTTTTCGTATGGGAAGGAGTGAGGAAGGTGCAACAGTGCACAGTTCTTGCTCTTAGTATGTTCTTTAATTATAAATTCTTGCGACTTGAGTGTGGTACAACCCATTTAAAAGTTACTATACTTAAAATGTGTCTAAACTTTCTGCTAAAGTCACTTAGAAAGTTGGATAGATGGAAGTAGGGTTCCACAGGCTAGACCTCTAAAATGCTAACTCGGATTTTCTGTTGCAAAATCTTAATGAAACTATTGTAAAATGTAATACTCTTCACACTAACCCGTGGAAGTTTCTTTAAAAAATTACTCTAACATATACTTTACCTAAAATCCTTATTAAATATAAAGAAATTTGCTTTGCTATTCTACAACAATTATTGAATGATTTCGAAAATACCTCAGCTTTAATTTATCATTACACAGACAGACATTCTAGCTCAATTTAGAGTGACGAACAATTATTTCACAAAATTTACGAAGAAAGGTTTGTCATAAGTATAAACTCAACCACACTGAATTTGCACTGTATGTTATCTCGACGAAAATGAAACTCTATTCATGGACTGTAGTGTAGGACTGTTTAGTGGATATCTATACAGAGCTGATATTCTAACTTGGTTCATTTCACCACAACGATTTTTTTCTCTTTTGTCTTCTCATCGGTTTTCGGTTAAATATTTAAGAATCCTAGTTAAATTTTTCTTTTTGTTGTTAATAGTAAAGTCCAAATATAGCGGACCACATAAATGCAATAATAGTAATGGTAATTTTGATAATCGCCTTCATGAAAAACCTTAATAGATTTAGGAGCCTGCGGATTTTTTAAGCCTCAAAAGTCGATTTTTCGTTTTCATGCGATGACACAAGTGTTTTTATTTTATATGATTCAGACATTTCAATTAAGTATTCAAATATAAATTATTATTCCACGAATCTTGCGACATTCTTCTTACAGATCACTGCGAATCGCAAGAAGAGCTTCAATTTCCAATAAGGTCAAAGATACCAAAAAGCGCTCCATATTGCAATTGATTTGTTTGATCCACGTAATAAGGACAGCTGAAAGAAAGGAGAGACTCTGGATTAGTCGGACAAGCGTGAGTGTCATATCTCTGATTCTCGGAAATGTTTGTATTCCCATCATGGACTGTTGGACGGTTAGACTTTAAATAGATTATAAATAGAGTCCCAGTAATTCTTTCATGTTTACATTATAGATTGATTGACTTAAACCATTAGCACTTCCAAAACATATTTGTTTCCTCCGGTGATGCCACAGTACCCCAGTTTCCGATTAAACTGTTTGTTCCATGGTTGTAAAAGTTGCGCGATCGCGGGCTTCCCGACTAAAGATCCGTGTTGTAAAAACTCCAATTGCGTATCAGTATCCTTTTAACTTCTTATCAACCGAATTTCAATCTCGATAAACTTCCATCACATCTCGACAATGTATTACGTTCAAAAAATCCTCGGGCGAGATTATGCTCTTAGGATGTCAGGCCGTCAGAAATTTGATTACGGATAATTAAGATAACATCTCGAATATTGTCACTCGAAACTATATGGATCGCAAGTAAACAATCCAATATTACAACGTCATAAAAACCTTCACCTGAAAATTCCGGCGTGACATTTTTCTATATTTAGCGTTGTGCTATCACTGTAACCCTACCCTACATCATCGGTTAAAAAGCATTACTTACATGTGCCGACAATTACTCGGAATCATGACAAAATGATGTTCTGTCGAAATTAAATATCTCGCAGAAGCTAATAAGAAAATATTGACCCTAAGCCGTCGCCACTTGTATCTTTAACACTTAATAATGCAAAAAATGATTGGTGACAAATAAATAAATTTATTAAAGCCATAAATCAATTTGAAACATTATAAAGCAGTCAAAAAACGATAACTATGTCAAATTCTATATTTGCATATTTAAATTTCCAATTCAGACGTCACAGCCGCACCTGTCTCGCTGGAAAATTGTGATTCACGTCTTTGTTAATAATCCGCTAGTTCTTACAATTGCTGGAAATTAGCAAGACGAAAAAATATTCCAATTCGCTTAAAGCGTGGAATATATTATGTATTTAGGGAGTAAATTATATAAGCGCTAACGGAAAACGATGACGATGAACCTTGCTGTAAAATCCTACTGATTCAGTTAGTTTCTTATCGAAATTTTCGATAATACCATTTGGATTTTCCGCAATCGACTCCAAAAATACTAAGTAAAATGAGTAGTGTTTTGGAAATTTGGTGGCTAATATAAATAACATAGATACTTATTTTAACTGGAAGACAGAACGGATTAAGAACTCTCTCGTCCAGAAGAAGTGTCATTATTTTTTCAATTCTGTACCACTAACCAAAACGAACCAAACCTAAACCGTAAAATATATTATTACATTTAAATCGTTTTTAATAATTTCTAATAAATACTTCTAATTCTAATAATGTTCGTGATCACAGTCTAATAAAATAATTCTCTTTACCAAGCTTAATGTCAATATGGAAAATTCCTTTTAAGAATATGATGCTTAAAAACTTTTGGAAAACTGTTTTATTTTTAATTTGATTTTAATTTGAAAACGAAATTTAAAATCAAAACTAAACATTGTTTTACATTTAGAAAACAGCTTAAAAAATAATTTATGTAATAAAATTAAACATATTGAACACCCCAAAAAGCTATGAATGAGAATCATATTTTATTTATTTATTTTTCAAGAAAAGTTAATTCCTATGTAAATAGAATTTCAGTTCTTTTCCGTAGAATTTTTAATATGTTGTTGGTGTTTTATAATAAATTCGAAAAACTTAAGGGGTGACTCCTTGTTTAAAATAAAAGGAGTTTGTAAACGTCGGGTTAAAAACCAACCATGCGTTACATATATGGCGGAAATATATATTTTTTATTTTGTTTTAAATGAGTGGATGTGATTGAACTAACCCTATCAGTTTTCTTCACTTAAATTTAAGAAAAACTTACGCAATGACTTGCCTTTTGCAATTTTTATAGATAAACAATAGAAACACATTTCTCTCCGCCATATTTGGCTTTTGGGACACCTAGCCTTTATTTTAACCAAGAAATCATCTTCTTTATTTTTTAGTTCTTTTAAACACCCTGTATAACTCGAAGTCTACCAATTTGCTAATATTTCTATTTTCAAAGGCGCGAATTTGAAATGGCTAATTTGGCTGGCCTTGATCAGTTGCCTAGTTCTAAATCGATAATTTTGTTAACATATTTAACATTTAACACGTTCCTCAAATCCTAATGCAGGTTACTTTATATCTAGCAGCGATAGCCAAAAAGCGAATAGACATGTTTTGATTTTTCAAATATGTAAATCTCAGTTTCTACGTGGCGTAGTTTTTGGTCTACGAGGGGATTGTCAAAAGTTGGAATTTTAGGATGGATGGTCTATAACTTTTCTATTTTTAAAATTTTTCATTTCGTGTAGATATTCTTCGTTATAGATTATAGATATAGATAGATATTCTTCGTTATAGATTATAGATAGATATTCTTCGTTATAGATTATAGATATAGATATAGAAAATATAATTCGTTATAGATGGTTATAGATATTCAAATCGTTATAGATTTGATAGCATTTTATTATGATGATTGCAATGAAAATAACCGTAATCAAAAAGAAGCCTGCGGCGATTAGGCCATTTTAAAAAAATTTAATAAAAAAGGCGTAAATCGTAAAAATAAACTGCCGTCGAATGGGCACAGCATGTCGACTCGTATATCTATCTTATCAGCGAATTGTTATAACAATAGATGACGCGCAGGTGCCGAGAAACAAACCTTCAAAATTAATTCAGTTTCGGATTGATGAGCGCGTAAGATCAGAGCACACGAATTGTCGAGGCTCCGCGTAATTCGTTTCGGAAGTGTGAATTCAGGTAAGTGTGTGGCGAATCTGCTCACGTTAGATGAAACGTGGCTGTGGATAGTGGAGGAGGTTTTGAAATCGAAATTTTTTAAATTGAATTCACTGAAAAATTTTCGAATTTCGCGCGTTAAACATCGACAGCGACATCTGCTGTCATTTGTTTACAACGGGCAGAGATAGACATAGATTGATGGTAGATAAATAGAGCTGTATTGTCGATGAGTGGGTCTATTGCCATTTTTAGATGCAATGGTATAGCAAAAATAAAATTAACCTTTTGGCTTGATTATCCATGCTTGGTGATTTTTTTGTTCAAAAAATAAAACTTTGTGGACCATTCTGGAAAACTCGAAAAAAAAAAACAATTGAAATTTTAATAATTCATTATTGCCGTAAAACAAACTTGAAAAGTTCCGCTTTTTAGTTCCCAAGCTTTTTTAACAGGACCCTCAAGTGGGCATTAGTTACGGTAAGTGATGACACCTTTGAGTTTCGATTGGAATTGTCGGAACACGCAGTGTTGGTATGTTGCAAAATCGGCAGTCGATTATGTTTATTCTTTATTGTAGACATTTCGAGAAATGTAATTCGATACTTTTTCTACTTATAAATCTCATTGCGTTATCTCGATATTAATAATTTGAAGAATGTGTAGATAAATTTTCTCCACGGTATCCGATTGCACGGCCAGGGAGCTTATTATTCGCTTGTGATAATAAGCACAAGTTTAACGAGGTCAATTGATGACGTGACTTAAAGATACAGCACGCCCAAGCCGGGTGTCGTCTGGTTCTTTTTATTAAAAGCAAAACATTAAATTAATGCGTAAATATTGTCAGGAACCAAAATAACCAAATTCTAATGAACTAACATTGTTTTTTGGTATCTGGGCATTTTCAGATGTTAAAAATATGACAAAGAGTTTGCCCAATACATTTTTAATTTTTATTTGGGTTTTATACGAGTAAATGTTTTGTTAATGGGTACTTTAAAACCCTAATACAAGTTTGAATTGCATATCGCGAAGTGTTTCGTTCAACATCTTGTTTAGGCCACAACCAGAGATGTTGGGTACGTTTGGATCGTTAGCGACCCATCTAAAGCTGAAAAGTCAGACGTATCAGATAGACAATTGGATCTTCAAACTCCACTACAGGATAACGTTCGTCGTACTTTTAGCGTCCACCATTTTGGTGTGTTCACGTCAATACATCGGTGAGCACATCCACTGTATAGCAGATGGTGGGGTACCTGGTCATGTAATGAACACCTTTTGTTTCTTCACCACGACATTTACCGTGGTAAGTGACCCGAGAATGAAATTCAAGGGAAACCCGAGTTTTTATGTCAACGGCACGATCGACAAGTAGTGATTGTTTCGTTTATCAAAAAGCAAACAATAAATATTGACGCTCCAGCGTTCTTTATTCTGGACAATGAGGCTTCTTGGCTATTGTGAAGAGAAGGGAAACGACCGCGATTGCCGAAACATATCTTTAAATTATCTGATATTGCGGAGCCATTGTTTACAATAACACAGTTTCGTGCGTCAATGTAATCCCTGTTGAATCACATAATCGGAATCGACCCAAATACTGACACCATATTGCACATTTCATTCTAAAATTCCGGTTAACTTATGAAAAAAAGAAGTGGGGGGTAGCAAAGAAAAGAATGAGGTAGACTTTTCGGTAATTATTTCTCTGCCACGATTTTTTTTCTTCTTCAAAAGCAAATGGAAACTTTAAGAGTTAATTTTTTTTAATGAAAATTGGAGGAGATTTGAGTGACTCTGTATGCTAAACTCCTTATACATCCTGATATTCGCCAGATAAAGGATTTGGATGCCCGTCTGCTGGATACAGGCAACCTTCCCCATCCTGGGGTCGGGCCTTACGGAATTAATTCCAAAGAAGACATCCGCAGACATGCCTACTACCAATGGGTGCCATTCGTGTTATTTGGCCAAGCCATAATGTTCTACTTAACACATATGCTTTGGAAGAAATTAGAAGGTAATCAAGCTTCGGTCCAAACTGTTGCTTACTTACTTACTTAAAATACGTTTTAGGAGGGAGGCTTAAATACTTGGTGGAAGGTCTTCAACTGGCTGCATACGCTTTCGAAGATAAAAATATACAAGTCCAAGGAAAAAGCATTCCCACTAAAAATGAAAAGTAAGCATTAATTTTTTATAAATTGGAATTTAGCAATTCATCTTCTTCCTTTGTTCTGATTGCGGAGCGTCCCTGTCCTTGACAGCCAGGGCGCTGTATCTGATCTATCATGATATACCATCGTGCCCCTTCTCCTAGATAAAGACTATATTCTCGATGAAGTACAGTATCTCTTTCATGAATAGTTTGGATAGTTTTTCTCGTTCTTAACCGAATTCGTTACAAGATAAATAGGAGTTTTCTCCTGTTGTAAGTACATATGCTCCCCTCATCTCTTAGTCCTGACAAACTGTGTCAATACAGACAGAACACTACCGAGCCATTTATTCAGCTTGTTTTTTCGCAGCAGTATGTTGAGTCAATGTGTGAGAGTTTAGACAGATCGGGATTCAAATATTACAGCAGCAAAAATTGTGCAAATGGTAAATAAAAATGAAAATTTCCAAGTATAATCTCTATTTTAATATATATTGTCGTTATTGCATTTGTTATTTTACATCTAGGTTTCGAATGTAAAGTAACCCAAAATCGCACAGTAAATAAAACTTGCTTTTTGGTGTTAGAACTCTTGTTTCATTCCAGAATGGAGAAAATCAAATCGGTAAGGGAGACGTTCCTCCAAAGAATCTATATCCGCAGCTCTTGGTCAGCGGGTCTGATACTTTGCGAAGCTTTGAACGTACTAAACGTTGTTCTTCAATTTTACATCACCAACAAATTCCTTGGGGGTCAATTCTCCACGCTGGGATCGGATATTTGGAGGGAAGGACTGGAGTCGAGTGTGGATCCGCTGGAAGAAGTTTTTCCAAAGGTTTTTTTATTTTTTATACCATTTTGGGTAGTGTATAAGTGATATTTTGCTTTATTTGGCTAATGCTGTTTTTCACGTACCACATTAAAATATCATTCACTTCGGTCATTAATTTAACGAGATGCTTAACGCAACTACATATTTAAAGCCATTTAAGGCATTACTTTCCTGTCCATTTCTGTAAGTGGGTCTCGCGAACCAGTGGCGTTGCTAGAAATGTAATGGCGTACATTTTAGGTGACGAAATGCACGTTCTACAAATACGGCCCATCTGGCTCTATACAGTTGCACGACGCAATGTGCGTTATGGCCTTAAATATAGTCAACGAGAAGATTTACACTTTTCTCTGGTTCTGGTTCATAATCCTGTTTATCTGCAGTTGTACGGTGCTGCTTTGGAGGTAAGCTATTAGGAGTCTACAATTCACGTAACGTTGACTAGTATGTATTAGATTGGTAACCGTGTACCTGCATTCAAAGAGCAAGACTTTCAATAAGATGGTTTTTGCCAACACTTGTCCGGGAAAACTCAATCCATGGGACGTTCTAACCGTGTCAAGGCATTGCAGCTATACTGATTGGATCTTTCTGAAGTACTTGGCAAAGAATGTGGACGGTATGGTTTTTAGAGAGATCATGGTGGGGTTGGCAGAGGAGTTGGACAAGTCTGAAAAGGAGACCCTTCTACCTAGCGAGTCAAAGACTGAAAACGAGTACAAACTCGAGTAACAAGAGACAAGATGACCAACAGATTCATCCTCTGGTACTTCTGTGATAATATAAAAAGCACTCTTGATGTTTTCCATTTTCAAGACTATTAGTATTAGCAGAAAATAGGTGTCGCCCATGTGGTTAGTTATAAAAGAATGACGTTACGGGGAGAAACAGTTCAGCTTAAGTTATAGGTTGACTTGGGATAGTAAGGGCGGCGGCGAGTTAACTTTTTGATAGCACTTGTGTTCCGAGGGCTATCAAGCACTATTAAAATTAATTTCTGCGTCGAGAGGATGATAATTAAAGAAAACCTCTAGCTTCACATTATTGTCACCTTCTAGAAACGTAATGTAGATATTAATTAGTTGTTTACAACCGTCTCGGTTTGCTTTGTCTTCTTTAAAATAGCGGTTAATATTTATGACCGTTGTCAAATTACCACTGACAATAAAAGTATTTCGCTTACGCTGATTTGTTCCTTTGTATGAACGTTTAGCAGTTTGCAGTTTATTAAAACCTATATCCAGGTGCTTTCGTAATGACCATTTATTTCCATTAAATAATTTATTTGAAATTGAGCTGAGGATCTTCAAACTCCTCTATGTGGCACAACTCTAGAAATTGTTTGTCATGTAGTGTGTCTGTCAGTCAGTTTGAAGTGTATTAAATATTCTCTAAATAATATTGAAAATACGTTTTAAGATTTTTTTTAATTCAACACGTCAATGGACAAAACAGTTATCATACTACAAAGAATATTCTCGTTTAGCAAATCTACGGAACTAATTCTTTATAAGACTAGACCACTTTTTTGATATGTGACGCTGACTTCGCAATTCCAGCTAACTGCACCGCGCTCGGCATGTTGTTATCGCAGACGAATTTGTTGCTTATTTTATGCATAATGAAACTGCTTAATATTTGCACGACAAATGCGCCATTGTTTATAGATCAATTGTTGGATATTCTCCGAAAGTTCACCACAATCGATATGATATAACGACCATATATAAAGAAACCATATATTAAAGTGCTTAATTGCAATCTAATTGTCTAATGACATTGTCTATCGATCGATATTTGTTGGATATTCACCAAAGTTGACCATAATCGATATGATGCAGTGTTTAAAATGTTGTTTGTGCCCCGCTTAAGGCTGTACATCGTTTCAAAATTTTTGAGTACGGTTTGATTTTGATAATTTTTTTGTCGCTCAAAAACGCACTAAAACCTTTCTTATTACATCAACCTGAAATCGTGGCTAACCGGGACTAATTTTTGATGTCAACAACAAAAAAATCAAAATCAAACCGTTATCAAAGATTTTACAACGATATACGGCATTAAGTGGAGCGCAAACGATATTTCAAACACTCTGTATTGAAACATTGGTATAGTTGGATTCTAAGTACTTCTCTTCTCTTTCTTTTGTTAAATAGTGTCGATTGGCCATGACTTTAAGTTGAAGCAATAAGCAAAACAAGGTTTTAGTGCATATTTAATGTTTAACATTTTACGCAAAATGCTTTGTGGTTTATTATACAAGTGTTGTGAACCCAACAATTCGAAATCGTTCTGTCAGAAAGCCCAAACGAATAGTGGGACCCTGATTTCGGGAAACGATGGAAACGATACCATAAAGAAATGATCGATATTCGATACCGATTGTCGCGATTCTAATATTTGACTTTTATAAATAAATAAGAAGTTGGTTCTACTTTTCTCTTTGTTCGAACCCTGAATAAATTCTTCAACACAGGTGACTACAAAAAAAATCTAATTTAAGTAATTTTAATATTTTTTAAACATTGTATTTTATACGAAACTGTTGTTCTACTCTGTTTGAAATGATTTATTTTGCGTCAACGGACGAGATATGACGTTTTGTTTTTTGTTAGAATAATATACACATTTGTTATAATAACAAATAAAATCTAGATTTCGAGTCTGGCTAAATAACCATGATTATGACTTGGGTTTCCAAACACTGCCTATTGACTGAGCGAAAAGAAATCAGATAATTTATCTGGGTCAATAAATCAATTAAAATTGATTAACGCTAGCGTAAAATTCCTCAACCGAGCGGAATATCGAACCCGTACGCGTGGTGGAACTTTGAAAAAAAAAACGAACGATTGCGCAACTAAATATGACGCCAAAACGCTTCAAAAATACAACAAAACAAGAACAATTTGAATTTAAAGTGGGCTTTGAAACGTATTCGAGGTCGTTGGTCGCTGGTGACCCGCAGCGTCACGTGTACACCAGCGACAACGTGGATTTTCGAGTGTGATTGCAGTTCGTAGGTATAGGTATACGTCTTTTTCATGTAGCTAATGCTCCGAAAACCGCTAGATACGTACGTGGGCGAAATCGAAAAGTACCTTATATCGATGCTTGCTGTAAATTTCAAATCACTTATCACAGGGAGGGACTCGCGGTTTATTTGTTATTGACAAAGTGTCTAAGTAACCTGCTATAAAACGACCAATTATTGCCGGGAGGATGGTGATTTTCATTGGATGATGTTAATAATGAAACATCAACAAACGCATTTGTATAAATAATAAGCTGAAATTTGGTGAAGAGAGAGTTAGCTTCATTTGTTTTATGATAAGAATAGTACGTTGAGTTTTTTTATGGAAAAGTCCTCAGCTGGCAATCGGAAATTACAGTTCATTGCTGCACGCATGGATGCGTGATATATTCTATTGTATCAGCTGAATACTTTTCAATCGCCGAAAATTCAGCGGACAACATTTTTCAAATAACTATTAGAAATTGTTATTATTTTACAAATGTGTTAGGTTTCTTCGTTTTTGTTATTTGCCAATTTTTATTGTAAAAGCAACAGTGAAACTGTGTTAATTTTGGTAGTTATTTACTGGTTTAGACCATATAGCATTATGTAAATTATTATTTCGACAATTTTCTAAATTTTAAACTTCCATTTTATCTGGAGCAATATACGGAAAAACTCACTATTTTCGACATATTCGCAATCGCAAGCTTCAAAAAACAGCTCCACGTGGCAAAAAACTATCGGGTTATGGTTTACGATCATAATAGAGAAACGATTAATTATATTTGGGCGTGTAAATATTATTACTTATATTTTGAAGTCTCCGAATTTATTTTTTATTAAGACACAAAAATAGGTATCTATTCAGCTGATTCATGGACGAACTGCTAAACTAACTTAGCCTAGCTAAAACTTTGTAAACTAATAACTATTTGTAAAACTTTTCTGAAAAAATATGTGGCGCTGAATTTTGCTCGGTAATCAGCTTATGCAATGAAATATCACGCGCCTGTGCCTACAGCAATAAACTGTAACTTCCGAACTAATGAAAATCTTTACCAAAGTTCAGCTTTCTTGATGTTGACTATTTTATAAAAAAGTAACAGTTTTCTTGATATTGCTTTTTTTTTAAATATTTTTTGTACAAGCTGCTGCGACGTGCATTTCTTTCATTAGACCACATAGACCACATAGACCACATAGACCACAGCAGAAAAATAAATAAGAACTAAAAGTTCAGATTTTCACGAAAATTTATATTTTTACATGACAATTTTTTCGACAACACCATGTCTTTACCAGATGTAATATTTACAAACTACCTGTTACTATATATACCGAAAAATGACCATATAACCTTAATTAAGGTTGTTGTGAGAATTTAAGTTCAATAAAGGAGAGGTACTTAAATCTAATTGATCGTTAAGCAATACATTAGAATGTCTCATTTTGTTAATTTTGTCAATTTTCTACTTTTTGTGGCTGTATGTAAAATATCAAAATTGTCGTCAAAAATGTGTTTTTCTGTGTTTAAGTGTGTAGCATAATTAGAATCTAGACTATTGTTTTTAAATGCTCTTTTATCTCCATGGCTTCCAATAAATTTAATTTTCCACTTTTTGTGGATGTATGTAAAATATCAAAATTGTCGTCAAAAATGTGTTTTTCTGTGTTTAAGTGTGTAGCCTAATTAGAATCTAGACTATTGTTTTTAAATGCACTTTTATGTTCGTTAATGCGTTTCTTGAAGGATCTACCTGTTTGTCCAATATAAATTTTACGACAAGTTCCGCATTTCAACTTGTAGACACCTGATTTTTGAAATTGTGATTTTGTTTTATTGTTTTTTAAAAAATTTCCTATTGTGTTCTTAGTTCTTAAAGCTATTTTTAAACCACGTTTTGACAAATGTTTTAAACTCAATTTTTAAAGAAACTTCCACAGGCTACTGTAATACTTTTTACAAAACTTCTGGATTCCTCTTGCGTCGGTTTTTGCTGAGTCGAAATTGCTGATGTTTCGCCAATCATCCTGTTGCCTTGCACTGAACAACGGCTACAATCCGAAATTTTAGGAAAATTTAAAAAAATAAATAAAACGAAATGTCCAAAATATCAAAAATCAGGTGTCTACAGGTTGATCTTGTCCTAAAATTTATATTGGACAAACAGTAGATCCTTCAAGAAACGCATTAAAGAACACAAAAGAGCATTTAAAAACAATAGTCTAGATTCTAATTATGCTACACACTTAAACACAGAAAAACATATTTTTGACGACAATTTTGATATTTTACATACAGCTACAAAAAGTAGATAATTAAATTTATTGGAAGCCAGGGAGATTAACAAAATGAGACATTCAAATGTATTGCTTAACGATCAATTATTGAACTTAAATTCTCACAACAACCTTAATTAAGACACGATGTTGTCGAAACAATTTTCATGTAAAAATATATATTTTCGTGGAAATCTGAACTTTTAGTTCTTATTTATTTTGATAAATGTATTTTCATCAAGTAAAAGCCACTACAGTTCACAGCAGAAAAGCTTTCTTGCGATGACCCAAACATGGTATTATTAATTTTTCATTTATTTCACCTATGAAACAGTGGAATTTTTTTTATTTGTAACTGAAAATTATCGGACACGTAGGAGCGATGGCAAATGCTCATCTCTTAAAAATAAACAGCTTTCCCATATGTAGCGGACATATTGGGGGACAATATAAATAACACATTTTTAACATACATTGTTAATGTAGGAAAATAATTAGACTTGGAGCATTTTACAAGATCTCAACTTTAAATATAAAATATGATATACGGACCTCTTCATAACCAACTTAATTTCCAGTAATTCGGGACAGTGACGAAAGACTAGAAAATACAAACCTGAAATCTGAGCGTATATACGTTGTGAATATCCACTCCGCAGCAAACGACCCTTATTTTTAGCGTCATATCAGCCCTATTTAAAACCGCCAGATGCGAGTCTGTCGTTTTACCGGGAAACGGCTACTAAAATAGGCGACGAAAATAGGGATGCCTGTTATGAGAGAGATGGATAACAAACAATGCATCCGTTTCTTCCTAACTGCAATGCTATGATAGTGTGTTTAGACGAGTTATAAAACACTTTTCTTTCAGATTTTTATATTTTAATGATAATTGAGTTTATTATATTATTTTCAGGTTGGCAACAAACAAAAATTATGTTTCATTTTTTCTATTATTTGCTATTAAACGACATTGTTAATTATACCTGCTTTATTAACACATTTATAAACTAAAAGAAACCTTACATAATAACCCTGAGTTATTAGTAAACGAAAACACACCTAGAGAGAACTTTTTAAATGTACCAGGACAGTTCTATGCGTTGTCTCGGCTATTGAGTTAAAAGGTATCCGTTTTCATAGTTTAAAGAATAAAAATGAATAATTGAAAATTCTGAGCTATTTAGCATATCAACATAAGCGGAAAAACGGCAGTTAGAACTTTCTTTGAAGGATACCTTGACGACGCAGTCCGATTATCAACCCCCTACTTTTTAAACATTAAAATTAAAGTACCCATCCTTTGGAATCGAGGAAATTAGAAATAAAGAGAGTTTTGAACTATAGCAGTTATATTTAATAAATAATAAGGAACAAAGTTTATTTTATAGCTTGACAATTCGTTTAGAATATCCGGCGACGTCGAAAAATCTAAGGAATGTTTCCATGCAGCAAAAAATAAGTGTGTTATAAATTAATTTGCTAATGATATCATTCGTTTGTGAATGAAAACAGCCCTTAAAATAACCGAGATAACTCCGAAACACCCTCTTTATAAGAAGAGCGTCGCATTAGTTGTGGCGTAGATGTCATTGGAAACTGTTAAATCTATATAACGATTAGATAATATGGGTCTCTATAAATAAAGTCTGTTCATAGATATCAGAAAGTGACTAACTGATACGAATTAAGGAAAGACCCGGGCAAGCTCTAAGAATGAAATATGGCCGAACAGGTCCGTAGTTTGCTTAGAATTTAATTATTTGGGGTTTTGTTAGGAAAGATACTAAACAATATTTATTTATTTATGTATGTATTTATGTTTAAAGCTAAAATAAAATTACAAGTTATTTTTATCACCTACTTAAATTACTTAAAATTATTCACATAATATATCAGTATCACTATCGCTATCATCGCCTGTTCTAATTATAATTTGTTCTATATTATTTGCAATATGGATATTTCATTCCTTCATTCTGCTTTTTCTATATGTTTAACAGAATTTGCCCAAGTTTGTGAAGCGATGTTAAAAACTTCGGTTTCTATAAGTTTGAGGACATTGGGGTTAACACGGGGAAAAATATTGTTAAGACGAATGACAGATTTCAGTTGGTGCCAAACATGTTCAATGGGATTAAACATACAGTGGTAAGGTAAAACTGTATGCCCCAGATTTTTTGCATAATTATCACAGACGTATTCCTTTTGTAGGTTCAAGCTTTGTTAATTGCTTTTTGGTATAATCTTCGTGAAAATAAATGTCGTTATTATACATGTAGTTTTGGATTGTTGCTTTTGTGTCACATGAGGTAGGGGTTTTAGTCAACTGTCTACTGTGATAACTTACCTTGTCCGATACAATGACGCTATTAAGAGGAATATTTGGAACTAGTTTGTTTTTAAACCAACTTTCAAAAAAATCAGAGAAAAATCTTTATAGATATTCCAGTCGCCATTTCCGAATTCTAAAAGATTCCATTAAAACTTACCTTTTGTCAATTTTTTTTAATCTAAAACCTATGTGTTAAATACACT